TCCCTACAGGCCAGGTGAAATCTACTGATATCAAGAGAGTGGTCACTAAGATGCTTCATAAAAAACCAGCTGTGGCTGCGCTGGGTGACTTAACAGATTTGCCCACTTACGAACACATCCAGGCAGCGCTTTCCAGTAAGGATGGGCGACTCCCTCGGATGTACCGGCTCTTTCGATAAAGCAGTGCGTCCTGCACGTCTGACAGACTTGCTTCTTTTTTAATATGTTTTTGAGATTATGATATTGCTGCAAGCCCTCCCCCCCCATCTTTCCAGGCATACTGTGCAAACATGGAGCTACGCTACAGCTGAACAAAGCCGCTTCACAACACTGAACTGTGAAGAGCTCGTTATGTTGGGCTTAAAGGCCCACCCTGGCTCTGGATGAGTACGTTGACCTTCCAAGTAGGTTACAAGAGAAGATGGGTGTATGCAGCCTTCTCTTCGCGTTGGGGAGAACATAGCAAGCCAAAATATTTATCACTACAACTGAAAGCACGTATCTGAGAAAAAGTGAGTCACTGCTGTGTTACCACTTACTTATATATCAGCAGTAGAGGTGGGGCTGTCACGCTGGAGGCCCTGGTGTGTGCCCGTCTTGGGGGATGTGGTGGCATGTTAAAGATCTTGGCTTACGTATCTGAATTCAAAGAATATTTATAGCTCTTACCAAGGTGAACAAAGACTTGGTCAAACCGAATTAGGAAAATACGAGTTATTATCCATGTGAAGTTAGGCAACAAGTTTCCTGCAGTCCAGGTTTTGTTACAAGCATCACGGATTCATTTCATCAGTGTAATTTACCATCTGTAGTATTACTAGAAGTCACATGTCTGGAAACAACTTCATAATTTTTCTAGATCTCAGAGGAAAATAGACCTATGGCACAACTGAGTTTCTGTGGAGTTCATCTACAGAGATACTGCGCATAATCCTACATGGACACTTATTGTAGAATTAAAGCAATCCTATTCTTTAGGTTTTTCACTTGCAAGTGAACTATGCTAAAGAATAAAAGTTCTTTTACATCAGAGTTGGTATCCAAACAGGAAGTTATTAAAGGAGCTGCTATTGCACCCTACTTCCTTCAAATTGTCACGCAGATGAACTGAAGGCCTTGTAAAAAAAAAGACATAATGTTCAGTCTCAGAGCAGAGATGGAGCTCAGCTAGGAGTCAAGATAACAAAATGATGTTCAGAAAGCTCATGAGCTCTTAAGTGACTGACACAAAGCTAAGTGCCATGCATTTGATACACTGACGACCAGAAAGGAAATAAAACATCTGATTTACATAATCCCCTAACATGTGAGCTTAAAAGTGTAGACAGCTGCATTGCAGCACTTCACTGGCTCGACGTGCATCGTAAGGAGCAATCAAACCGGGAGCAGAACACTGTGGGGCAGCTATTCCCTGCTTTACCCCCATACCTTTCCTCACGCAACTAGAAGAAAACATGTTGCGTCGCTTCTTGTGGAACCCACAGTATGAAAGTCCTGTTCAGTTGTTGTGTATGTTTGTAAGAAAATAAAAGAGACCTCTAAATGACTGGAGCAAGTAGTAAGAGTTCTGAAATTCATCAGCTAATGGGCTGGGTTTCTTGAACTGGCAGGCAAAACATCCCGCTTTTCCAGCTGGAGCCAAGTGGCTCAGGTCACCCGAACAGTTAGCATGCATCACACAATGAAGTAACTCCAGCTCTCACACCCCTGCAACAACAGCTGGTTCTCATTTAAGGTATTGCATTAATTTATTTTTATTCCTTTAAAAAGAAAGGAAATCCAAATACCTGATGGCTACAGACAGGTCAGTGCCATAAATGTTTGTACCGCAGAACAGAAGCTCTGTCTTAAGACAGGTTGCATAGTTAGCAGCACTTCCTCCAAGTTGTTTGCACGCTGTTTTATGAACTAAGGTGATTAATGATCCAGCCGATCTGTGCCCAGGAAGAGTTTTTAAGTATTAGCTGTAGTGAACATTTTACCAGTGCCGTACTGGTCCATGTAGTATGTTTAGCCTTAAGACAACACTACTTCAAAAATAGCAAGTTATTCACAGTCCACTGAATTGGAAAAATAAAACCAAAACAAATTAACCGTAATCAGAGGTAATGGAACTGCACTGATCTGTCTTGCTGCAGTTTCTCTGCGTGCTTCCCTTGTATACTCGCTTGACATTGTAATCACTTTGGTGAAGCATTACCCAGCAGCTGTACTTAGGCCATTATTTTCAACTTGAGTGTCCTGCTGCTGAAGGCAGGTTGTGTTTTATCACCCCTGGGGAGGGCAAGTGAGTTAAGGAAGGGATTGTTTCAAGCAGTCTCAACAGCCAAATACATGGTGTGAGAGATTGGTATTTACCCCCTTAGTGACAGAAGGCCTATGGAATAATTATTGAAAGGCAATGTTTCTACACTTCAAATGTACAGTAGTACATTCACACAGATCTTGCGGTACAGGACCAAAAATGCCTAACGCAGCAGCACCATCCTTACACAAAACCGTCCCCTAACTGGTCCCTGTTGCACATTTTACAGAATATTGTACACTTGGCTACAGATAAGGAGAAAACAAAACAACCCTGCAACGTACATAAGCGAACCAGATCAAATCAAACAGACAAACAAAAATTTTCACCTTTCTGCAGGTTTTTCTTAGGTCCCCTGCCCCTGGTCCTGCCAGTTCCAGAAGCTGTGCTCCCTGTGTGGAGTCATCTTAGAAACGAGAGATTGTACCTGGTTGCTTCCAAAGATAGTATGGTTAAAAATAAATCAATTACATCTGTCAGGATGGATGTCCTAAATAACTGACTCCATTTTCTTCAGCAAAAGCACTTGAGCTACGTGGATTAGCTCATGCAAATGGAGGATGAGGTTTTAGACATTCTTCACAAGCCACAGCGACCGCCAGAGGTGCTTAGGCAGACAATTCCCTGCAGAGTTTGCCGTGGCCTGAAATCCTCTTTACGGGCACCTCTAACACAAGCATTGCAGAGTCCTCAGCTCAGGAAATGCTACATATGCTGCTGGATTTTTGGTCCTTTTGCTCTTGACGTTTCTGAAGTTCCCTTGTAATCCGCCTCTTTATCCCGATTAAATAGAGTTCTCTGTCAAACTGCCCTGCAGCAAGCGGAATGCTATAATATAAACACAAGCAATTAGATCAGGGCACAAATACAATCTTCTTGTTTGCCCAACATTTCCCAACTAGTTCACACAACAAAGGCCAGAAAGCTATTTTTAACTTTCTTAAGGCATTCAGCTACTGCTGTGGGAGAAAATGGGTAAAACAAAGTTGTTCTTCCACAGCAACAAGTTAAGCTTTTTCACAATACATTTAAATGAAGAAAATACTGGTTGTAAAAGGCAAATATACTTTCAATTTAAGCAGGAATAGGCCTGCATTCATAAGGGGCATACATGGAGGACATTCTTTATAACCCTAAACCAAAACCCACTCATTTGAGAAGGTAAAGTAGCTTACTGTTAACTTGGTGTATTCACTGGTACGGTTCATGCACAAGAGTTCTTACCTTGTTGGTCTGTTCCACAGAGACGAGAAGGAAACCCTAGCAGCCCAGCTGCACAGACTCTGCAATACTTCTATTTAATGGGTATTTAATACCCATAAATAAAACAAAACAAAAAAAATATCCCAATTCTAATTGTACTGTTGATCAAGTGCTTTGAGAAATCACCATTTGCTAGATATCTGGGTCTTGAAATCCCCGAGCATGCTACTCACAGAAAAGAGACTAACTAAATTTCAGTGACTTAACCAAATTTTCTGAGGAGTTCTACTAGCATGGCAGTCCACAGCGGGACATTAAGAAACCTGGAGGGTCTCGAAATACTTCACTGATGTACAGCTATGTTGAAATGCAGCCACCACGGTGGGGGAGAAAACAGCATTGATCCCAAAGAGGGAGAGAGGAACAGAACAGGAAAGATCTCCATGCTGACAGGAAAAACAGACAGCTGCATCTCAGCTAAACCACAGATTTATACTCAATTGCAATGGACTCCGTTTGTCTCCCTCAGGAGGATTAAGGGACCTGGCAGCAGGGATTTCAGATGTCAGCGCAAGGTTTAAGCACTCTGACTGCTCTGACCGCTGAGAGCGTATATTGGGTAAAAAACAAAGAGGCTGCAGAGACCTACATGGGATAAACTCTATTTTAGGAACTCTTCTGAGAGGACAAACTCCCAACAGGAGCACATCCTCAGGATCACTGGAGCCAAGTGCAATCGTACAGGGTAGTCGAGGAGGTACTAACTTGTCTCTGCCAGGCCTCACTTTCACACGAAACAAGGCAAACACAGGCCGATGGTCTGAAGTTTTGATCACGGGACAAGACGAGTACTTGACAGCATGGATGTCATCTCTGTACCGACTGCGGTATACAACTCGATCCTGGGAGGCAGAGAGAAAGGGGAGACTGATGGTAACTCCCTTCGCACATCCAACCTGGAAAGAAGCACTGATTCACAAGAGACAAATCCATTTGTTTGCCACACTTCAGGAAATTAAGTGCTTTGGGCAGGGATACATTCATGAAGAACGTGTGTCTGATCCAATAGTGGTTCTGCGCCCAGCTCTGCGCACAGGGGAGAATGCACTGAACAGGACGTAAGGCAGGGAAAACATGATTAGCAGCCTCTGCCAAACTCCCTGTGCTCATGGATTCAACAATCCTTTCTTCCAAACCAGTTCCACGTGCCCTGTTCCTCTTAAGCAACAAATCTCAGCGCAACTGTATCTCATGCAGCCCAACTGTGGAAGGCAGCTTTTTCTCGCAGGTGAGAACCCCCTTTGGAGGCAGATGTGCGGCTGAGCAGCCTTTCGAGCACGCTGCTCTGAAATCATCCCTTACCGTGTAGGAAGGAGTCCTCTGTTTGGAGGTGGTGTCATAGCTGTCCTTTCCTATGTCAAACTTGTAGGAAGGACGGAAATTAATATCAGCCTCTTGGAATCCTTTGAAAATGGACCCTGTAAGGGAAAGGGAGAACAGCATGAACAACAAATTCCTCCTTCCTAAGAACCTGTCACACTTTCTGCATTCATTCAACACTGCTTAACTACTGGTGGCTCGAAACAACAGCCATGTACACACATGAGTAGAAAAACCTGGGCTTGAGGTCCAGAAAGGGAGCAAGCTCAAGTTGTTATGTAGTGAGGATAAAAAATAGCCAGTGGCTATTTAAGCAAAGAACACTTGGCGCATGCACTTCCCCTTCCACTGAAAGCTCACAAT